CATTTATTATATATATTATGCACTTTAATTTTTAGCGCTGCACATTTACACACTTTATCTATTTGGACCCCAGGGTTGAGAGCGCAGCTGCTTTGGTATCAGGATATTAAATCAGGGCTATCCATAAAGCGCGGATCCACATCTCTTACAATCTGCCCCCCTACTAGAGCACCTGCCCTATGTTTCTATTAGAGATTAGAAGTCTGGAAGCCTGCCAATTCACTGCTCATAGCCGGAAAAAAGGTAGGCTGAGCTCTTTAAAACTGCCCATACACCTTGTGATCACCGGACGACACTTTTCGTCCGATGATCGAAACGTCGTACGATTTTCGTACGTCGGCCCCATCCTGCCCTGATTATCGCAAGGTTGGATCAGCGGTAATTAAAAGAAAGCTCCTGGATGAATTGCGGCAATCGACCGCACGTATTTTCGTCTGTGCATGTGCAGTGTAAATCGTACAAATTTTGACGTACGGAAACGCCACCAACCTTGCGAAAATCGTACGATCGACCAAAGTTTTCTAACCTGCTGGTTAGTCAAAAGTCGATCGATTGTACAGTATTTGCAGTTTTACACTGCCCATCAACCTTACGAATATCGGACGGAAAATGTGATTGCATACGAAAATTGCCCCATATTCGTAAGGTGTATGGGCAGCTTTAGACAAGGACCTCAGTGCTTCTGCAGTGTCATTTGTGGATGAACTGCTACACAGTGCCTGCATCTACAGTGGTTAACAAGGGCTTGTTTTCAAGTTAATTTACTACAGTGAAGAATATGTGAATACTTAAATGTCCATAGCCTGATCAAAGGTTCACTTTACAGGAAACCTTCCTCGACAAAAACATAGAAGCTGCCACTGCAGATTTCTCATTCTGCAAGTATTAGTTACCTGGCTATCATGATGGCTCTCTGACTAAGTGAAAATGGGCAGGAAAATTTACTTGTCGGAGAAAGTGTTTAAACAAGGAGTATCAATAGCTAGGGCCACAGTAGGTCAAAGGAAATATAACAATGTGCCAAAGCTCTCATGTCTCTCATTCACAGTTTGACATTATTGGGTTTATTGAACCTGGCTGATCTATACTACCAACAGCTCCACCAGTGGCCCTCTCTAACATGCCCAGTGGTGTGAATGATTAAAGCTGAATTTCAGGTATAACTATTTATGTTTACTTACATTGGTCTAGCTTGGCCCAATGCGAGTATACATATTTTATACCTGGTAGTGCCACAGGGATCCTGTAAAACACTGTAGTAGCCGGTGAAACCACAGTGCTTTACAGCAATCTTTCAGGTCCTGTATGCCGCTGTACCAGGTATAAAATATGCATACTTACATTGGCCAAGCTGGACCAATGCAAGTATACAGAAATATTGCCTGGAGTTCAGCTTTCATAAAATGCTGTTACGTTTCACTTCTAAGAATATCTGTTGCAGCAACATGAGCAAGTTAGGTTACAGATCTTGTGTGCATTCTAATGTATTTACTTGGCAAATATACTGTTTAAACTATAAAAAAAAAATCCACATTCAAAATTTATTAGGCATTTGAAGAGACAGATTTTGCAGGCACAAGTGCACCGGTGGCAACACAGATATATTTCATAACTAACCCAGGTGAATTTTAAGAGTCGGTACGCGGCAGGAAATTAAAAGGAGAACTATGGGGTTAAGGCTTTTCCCCATAGTTCTCCTTAGGGTAACGGGAGGACACAAACTAGCGTCCTCCCATCACCCTAGGCTCAGTATACCGCGATCTGTAGCTCGCTGTATACTGAGACGCCGCAGCTGAAGCGGATCCCGACAATTATGCCGGAATCCGCCGAGCTGCGTGACTGACAGCTGGCTCTGTCTATCTAGAGGCAGAGCCAGCTGTACCCGCCCCCTCCCCCATCGTTCCGCCAGTCAGCTCTGGCGGATCGGAGCGGGGGGAATCCAGCCCCTCCCCTGTCACGGCAGAGAGCCGTGACAGGATCGAGAGGTGAGCGAACGCCGGTATATGTTCGCTCACCTCCCGATCTACTGAGCCGGCCTGTGACAAGTCTCATTGTCACAGGTCGGCTAGAACTAGGAGGCGAGTGAAAAGCACTCACCTCATAGTTCTCCTTTAAGCATATAATTTTAACGTTGCTAGACCTACTTTTTATTACACTATTCTTTTGCCATGTTTGGACAGTTTCAAAACTGCAATTATGATTAATGCATTTGTCTTCCAAAATAACTCCAGTGTAATTCTGCCTTCCCTAGAGGCTGTCACAGTGCACACTCTCAACCTGGCCCAAAATTGTATCAAATTACTTCACACATGAAATAACCCAATAAGACTTTTATGTCATTAAAAAAAAAAAAGCAATTTTTTAGCATTAGCAAAAAGTTGTCGAAATCTCAAACTCATCTATTTATTCATATCCCAAAAAACGCGACAAAAATACTAGAGGACATATTGTTATCATGGTCTTTTAAAACTAAAGATTGTTTTATGGATAACCAAAAATAAAATGGGTAAAAAAAAAAAAAGTGTATACTGCAGCAATCAACAGACTGAATTCTACATCAGTCTATATAAAAAGGTAGTTAATGTAATCAAGGAGTCAGAGGACATATGCTTTCATTGACACTCAGCTTTGTACTATATAGGACATTAATAAGAATCAACATTGTTTTAAGATTACAACACATGAAGGAAGAAGACAAAAATAATACAATATACTTATTAAATTAAAGAAAGCTTCTACAAAAAAGAAGCTTGTGATTACATTGGATGGTATCTACTGCCTAGGATATGTACGTAAAATAGGAAATAAGGGGTGCTAGTATGAACTGCAAAGATTCTGAAGATCTCTTTTCAAGTTCTTTTATGCTACAAACCTGGCCTCCAGTCCTTTTCTTTCTCCAGCTGTCTTCTCAACCCCAGAACCGCTGCCTCCGCATCATCCCCCCACCTTGCTAACATCGCTGTTGTCTGCCTAGCCTCCTGACACCCCCCAGCTGCTAACACTAATGACTCCTCCACCCCTTACGCTGTCATCTGCTCATTCACCAAGTTAAAGGTAAATTCCCTTGCAAAGTGAACATCCTATTTGCCTTCTGTAACGTCAGCCCCATTTTCTCTACTCAATCTTTTCACTTGTAGCCATTGCTCTGCCCTGGTGTGCTGTGTTTGAAAACTGTCATTTTTGCATTCATCAGCTTATGGTAAGTATTTAAAAGAAAACTATGGCCAAACCTTTTTTTTTGGCTATAGCACTCTTTTGGGTCACAGGAGTGTATTTACTAATGTACTCCAGTGTCCCAATGTCAGCATATAGCGGACTACTGCCTGCTATATGTGGACAGTGCAGAGCTGCACTGCAGCCGGGAAATATCTCGTCAATAATGTCGGGATCCACCCCGCTGCCAAACTGACAGCTGGCTCTGCCTCTCTGCCAGAGCCAGCAGTGTCCGCCCCTCCTCCGTCTATCCCTCCCGTCAGCGCTGGAGGAATAGAGAGAGGGGAGGGGGAATATGACAGTCACTGCTCTCTGCAGGGAGAAACCATGAGCTGAGAGATCAGCGGTTTGCGATCACTCAGTTCTCGAGCTACAGAGCCGGCAAGTGACAGCTGCAGTGGTCACACGCTGGCTCAAACCATTAATCAAACTCAAACTGGGAAGAGTATATTTTACGCCCAATTGTTCTCCTTTAACCATCGCCCCACCCTGCTGTGCATTTCAAAGCTAACCCTTTTGCATTCATCTGTTTATGGTACTTCTAACCTACAACTGTAAAACGTATGACTATATTATGACCAATTATACTGATCAGAGAGCTGATGTTGTCTTTATGGCTCTGGCCTGCCTTAGTGTGAAAGTGTCCTCTTTCATCTATGTGTCTTTTCATCAGTTCCTGATTGCCAAATACCCCTCCACCCCATATCCCTAATGAGATATACATACATACATACACTTTTGCCATTATAATTTCTACCAATGTGTATTTTACCAAAAGAGTACTGGCAGTTTAACACAACATATTAACTATGGCAGAAACAGAAAAGAATCTACAAACAACATTGCTCCAGGCAGATTGCAAGTGAATTAATAGTTCCCATCCAACTCTTTCTACCGAATTCTGATTATTACTCTCTCCACCCTGTAATGTGCTCTCTACCTTTACTTTTCACAATAGTCTCCTCCCTCCAGAAGTCCTCATTTATACAGACACGGAGGCTTGTACAGCATGAAGGAGGTGTTTATGTGCCTGGGAGGGACAGCAGTCTGCGTGTAACCACAGCCAGCAGCCTATAAAAATCAATGGCAGGCCAAGAGACACTGTGGCTGTATATCTTTTTGCACATCCCATTGTGGACATGCGTGCAGACATAAATTCACTGCCCTGAACACAGGCTGTCTGTATCCAGGGGCATACATCTGTACTTATACAGATGAACACGCTTAAATCAGCATTTACTAGCATACAACTGCATTCGGTCATTGATTTGTACAGGTGGCTGCACACAACACCTGTGACACCGGAGCGCCCTTTGGCTGCCTAAACAAATACCTCATTCATGCTGTACGAGCCTATGTGGCCGTGTCAATGAGGCCTAAATTGTCACTCCTTTACCAATTATCTCCCGCACACAGCTGTGTGTGTGTGTGTGTGTGTGTGTGTGTGTGTGTGTGTGTGTATATATATTACATACATACATACACACACACACACATCTATCTATTTAACTAACCCTCTCTTCCATTTCTATGTTGATGACACCCAGATCTGCCTCTGTACTCCTCACTCACCCCTTTAGTCTCCTTCCACATTACTAATTTAAAACTGCCATATCACCACTCTCTAAAACTCAATCATTCCAAACTTGAGCTCACAATAGATGACATTGATCATGCTTTTATAGTGGGCACAACCGAATAACATACATATTCTATTCAGATGGCAGAATAACATTTTCATACAATTATTTTTGTACGAGATAAAAAAAATAACAAATTATGCATGCCTTTTCACTTTTCAGTGGTGTACTATGTGCCGCTGCTGCCGGGAAATGTTCTAGTGCGTTCTGATGATCTTCGCCAGGTTGCTGACCTGGTTGTGTCGCTTTCTGCTGGGCTAAATCTTGTTGGTCTTTCTCCTGATCTTGTTTGGAGTCAGACTCGGAGCCCGTTTCTGTTGTCATGTTCGGTTATTTTCTGGCGGAAGAAAAAAAAGTTATATCTCATTAACGCACCAACACTGAAATCAAGGAAATGCATTTGTATAGCTTTGAGTCACAATTACAAGCAAAAACTACAATAAAACAAACGGAATATATAAAATAGGACAAGGTAGAAGAAGCTTGAAGAAATTATCATAAATGTTTTATTAAAATGGTGTTCATGCTTTTGGGCACTAGTGAATAATTTAATTTAAAAAAATCTTCCATCACTGTAGCATATTGAGTCATTAAGCATGTCTGATGGGTACAGCGAAAAAAGGAAAACTAAAATAGTAATAGGCTCCTAGACCAAGGTGTATATCCCACTTCCCATGAAAGAAGCAATGAAAAATCATGCATACATAGTTGGATCCTTTATTAAATTATTGGATGCAGCGAAAAAAAAAGTAGTACTCATTTGGGAGAAAGCCAATATAACACTGTCCACACTCTGTCTTTCTGAGCACGCTTTCTATGATTCAAATGCCCCATTCTGGGCACTTCTGCTAAACAAAATCTGCCGGAAAACCTCATACATGGGCAAATAAAGTCATTACATAATTTCCATCCTTGTCAAATGATCGCCAAGTTGTTAAAGACCAGACTGGGTAATCATATGCAGGGCATGATTAATTTAAAAAATTTGACCTAAAACAAATCAAACTTAGCTGAATATCACTTCAGACTCAATCTGATAACAGAGCAGATTCCTACAAACTTCATTGTTTTATAGAAAAATTTACAAAATGTAAAGGTTAAGCACCAAAACATGTTTGAGGGTTGTGTGTCTACTGTGTAAATATGATAACTAGACCTGGGTGACCCCAACGCACACGGCTCTGATGTCGCTATCAAAAATGTAAACACATTTGGAGGTGTGCTGGTAAATATATCTACTGTGTAACTAGGACACCTTTTTGCACTGGGAACTTCTGAGTTAGATCACCTTTCAGTTCCCACTGCCTGGGCAATGTGTCTGATGTCAAGAAAATAAGATTTCTGTACTTACTTAAAATCTATTTCTTAGAGTTTATTGAGGGAAATTCAGAGACTGTTGGGTTATACTGTGGCATGCTGGAGGATTTATGTACTGGCAAAAAGAAAAAACAGTGGCCAGTCTGGTATGACCCATCCTACTCCCAAGCATGCTTCAGTTTGGTACCAAGAACATGTTCATAGACAAAGAGGATTAGGATCTGTTTCCCACAATAAACTCAAAAAATGAAGGAACCACACAAAGCACCTTACACCAAAAAGGACCTTACGCTGAAGGCCTGAACATACACCTGGTAAAACTAGATGGCAGAAGACCAGATGGCAACTTTGCAAATCTGAGACAGAGTAGCCTGATGTCAAAGAGCCCAAGAAGCACTCGCATATCTAATAGAGTACATCTTGAAAGGAAAGGACAGAACCCAATCCTAAAGAACATAGGGTTGATGATCTGTCTTAGCCATGAAGAAACGGTGGAAAGAGAAGCCGATTCTCCTTTATGGGGACCATTGGGGACAAAGACAATCTTTATAACTGAAACAGTGGCTCTGAGGTAGACATGCACTGCCCAAACTACATCTAGGGGAAAACAATTTCCTGATTGAGGTGAAAAGCCAAAACCACCTTAGGAAGAGAGGAGGCTCTAGATCTCAATAGCACCAAAGACACCAAGACAAGCTGCCAGCTTTGCATTTTGAGATGACTCTGTCCCTCAAGTCCTGGGCTTCAACAGACATGCCAAAACAAAATCTATGGACCATTATAAAGGATTGTAAACCGGTCCTTGGTACAGAAGATCTGGACGAGCCCCTGCCAGGAGTCTGATCAGGTCAGAGTACCACATCTGCCTGGCGAATCGGTCTGTCCAAGCACTGAACCAACTTGTCCCACTATGACAGGATGTTGAGTTGTGGGGTCTGAAGTGGAACTGAGCAAATTGGGAGTGCTTTAAAAGGGAGATTTTTTTTTTAAAGAATACAAGGCATTCTGTGATTGGAGGAGGGGAAGGAATGTGACATCACATCTCCTCTATAAACAAATACAAGACATTTTCTGAGCAAAGGATAATGGAGAGGTGGGTGATGCAACCAGAGCACTGTACAGCCAAGATCGCATCTCTTCCTATCTTCAGTGCTCAGAAACTGGGTGTCATGTGCAGGGAACGGTGTGCGGAAAAGTACGATTTTCATACTTTACAGCAGCCTTCTGCACATAACACTGTAAATTATCATTTGCCCAGAGTGTGGCTTTAGGTAATAAAGTTATTTCCAAATAAACAGGCCCAAAGAAGAAAATGTACCCCCATAAGGGGTAAACAGGTGTGAAAGTCAGAGTGAAGTCAAAATATTTCATCTGTATGCTTGTTCCAGGACACCTACTCAAAGTCATGTAAAATGTGGCTCAAAGTAAAACAAATGCTATACATACAAAACAGGGGCTCGTATTGCTTTAAATATTAAATCAAATCATCCAAAAGCAGCAAACAGAACTTTTTCATCTACTGGTCAAACCATTTATGAAACTGATAAAATAACTTCTTGAAACATCTCAAGGGCCATTTACTAGTGACAGCACTGAGGCAAAGGTCATTTGCTTGGGTAATTATGTGATCTTGTCCTTCTGCATGTGCTGAGCTCTGCAAGACCAACTGCAACTGAGAATGAAAATGCACTTACAGATACACGATTATTACTACAAGTTATTGTTGTCCTTTTATGTTAAATGACCCAGGCAGGGGTGTAAAAATACTTCATTTTGATATATTTTAAAAAACGGGTCCTGTTCTTTTGCTATGATTTTCAAACATGGCAAGAGTAAAAGTTCATACTAAAGTACATATAGAAAGATATAAAATTGGTGTTTTTGTAGCATAACCCAAGAAGGCTAGTAACTGCAAGCCCATGCACTACGAACCCATTCCTCTACTCTAGATAACGCTTTATGATGAAAATAAGGGTTTGATATAACTGGGTAAAACAACAACCAGTATTCTGTGATTATGTTCAAGGTCACAACAATAGACAAGCACATTGTGAGATGCACACAATTCATTCACCTGTCACAATATAACCATGGTTCATTAAGAGAAAGCATGACGCTTGGAGTATTTGTTTAATGTCTGATCTGTCTAATGCAGGGGTGCCCATTAGGTAGATTGTGATCGACCAGTAGCTCTCAAAGCTGATGCTGGTAGATCAGGAATGGTGTGAATGGTGGCCCCTATATTCCATATTAGTATATTTATTTAGCTGTGCACACATGATTACCTATTAGCCTGAGTCTACTGAGCCGAGCTCCCTGACACCTTTCTGGTGGATACAGGTGGTTGAAGTGCTATGTATTACATCAAAGAATATTAGTTTACACAGCCTGTTGCACTACACTGTTTGCAAAATACAGCAAGGTGAGCCAGGAGAGAGAACGGAGAGAGCCAGGAAAGAGAGAGAGAGAAGACAGCCAGGAAAGAGAGAGAGAGAGAGAGAGAGAGACAGGAGAGAGAGAGAGAGAAAACAGAAAGGAAAGAGAGAGAGGGGAGACAGAAAGGAAAGAGAGAGGGGAGACAGCCAGGAAAGAGAACAAGGAGAGACAGCCAGGAAAGAGAACAAGGGGAGACAGCCAGGAGAGAAAACGAGGAATGACAGCTAGTAGAGAGAGCGAAGGAGGTGTTTTTTTTCGTTGATAGATCTCATGTAGCTCGTCATTTGAAAAGTAGATCTTAACACAAAAATTGCGGGCACCCCTGGTCTAATACATATGGCGCTGAATTACCCTTTTAACCGCTTTAAATGTTCTTTAAAGAAAAACAATAGCCCTACACATAGTACAGATCTTACATAGTATTTAAGGTTGAATAAAGACATAAGTCCATCAAGTCCAACCTATCAACAAAGTTAAACAATCTAATGTACAAGGGATTGCAACTGACTTTAATTTTAATCCAATAATCTAGAAGCAAACATAAATGATGTTCATGATATGCACTATTTAAAGCCACACTCCAGACAGAATAATAATTTGAACACTGCACTGGGTGTGTAAATTATCATAAAAAAAAGCTTGGAGTGCAGTGGTTGGCTGCAAAGTAAAACAAATCTTACCTTGTAGCATGCCATCCCACTGCATCACCCACCCACAAAATGCCTTGTATTTTTTCAAAAGAATTCAAGATATTCTGTGATCCTCCTCCAATCACAGAATAGCTTGTATTCTTCAACTAAATAGAAGGCATTCTGTGAATGGACGGTAGTGGGGAGGGGGCAGATTATTGGCATGCTTTAACTATATGCACCCAATTTAGTTTTCCTTTTTTTTCCTGGATTTTATTGCTCTTTAAGCCCTAGTGAACACAGTGCTCAGGGAGCTGCCATACAGTTTCCTGCTGCATTTATACCCACAAAAGGCCACTGGGAACATTATGTCATCCTGGTACTTGAAGCTTTTAGTACCAAATGAATTCTCCTTATGTCCATGCTAACCCCAATTTCAATGATGAGCTGGGTGCCTCCCTTCATTCTTGCAATTTGAGTGCAAAGCTACATGCTGAGCACTGCATTAAGAATGTCACGTGGGATTTTCCAGAAAGACCGTGCAGTTACTCACAGTAGGCTTTAAAGGAGAACTATGAGGTGAGTGCTTTTCACTCACCTCATAGTTCTAGCTGACCTGTGACAATGAGATTGTCACAGGTCGGCTCAGTAGATCGGGAGGTGAGCGAACACATACCGGGTTCGCTCGCCTCTCGATCCCGTCACGGTTCTCTGCCGTGACAGGGGGGGGGGGGGGGGGCTGGCTCTGCCTCTAGATAGGCAGAGCCAGCTGTCACTCACGCAGCTGGGCGGATCCCGTCATCTGCGCCGGGATCCGCTCCAGCTGCGGCGTCTCAGTATACCGCGAGCTGTAGCTCGCGGTATACTGAGCTTAGGGTAACGAGAGGGCGCTAGTTTAGGGTAACGGGAGGACGCTAGGGGAAAAACACTGACCCCATAGTTCTCCTTTAAGAA